GCTACGCGTTTGACCCTGTCACAGTGCACGGATCCCTCCCTATTATTGCAGAAGGGCCACTACAGCTGCCATCTGAATAATAGCCACATTTGAAAAAAGTGACAGCAACGGACATGCAGGAAATGGAAAACCACTGAACAATCACGGCATCCAGTTTGGTAGAAAAACATCAGTGAAAATGTCACTCAACAACAGATTGAAACCTGTCTCACGAACTCGTGTTATTGTTATGTTATTATTTCATCCGAAAAAAAACTGAAGGAACACACCAAAAAAACTGAAGGAACACACCAGCCGCAAATTTGAGTTGCTCTCGCTTGGAAATGGCGATCGATAGACCAGGGATGTTCAGATCGCGCATGAAATGTTCAACTCTCTGTATTAGAAAGTCCATTTGTGTTTCCGACAGCAAATCCGGTGATCCTTGAAGAAAACGTACAGGAATTTCCCTGAAACGTAACCGTAAGATGAGAGGGACAAGCAAAACAAAGACTTACATACCTCTTGTTCCATAGAGGATCTACATCAGGATAGCGATTGGAATGGTGATCACTCCATAAAACCACGTACTTGACGACCCCTAGCTTGTCAACAAAATGGGAAATCTGTCGTGGAAGGCATTTTGGATTTCCTTGGAACTTGCTAAATAAATCGACAGAAATTAGAGTGAGTTTAAAGTGTTAGCGATTGAGGTGGAGTAATGGCAATAGATCATGCTCATATTCGTAGGGCCAAATCCCGGATCGAATACCAGCCAACTAATTCATGCTTTTTCAACTCTAGGTGGCTTGCTACTTGGTACTAGACCTCATTGCATTCGAATGCAAGTACGAATATTGAATAGAACTCGAAGGCGCGGCGCATCATGGGAAGAAATTTTTTAAATGTACTTCATCCTTCTTCCGCATGGCCTCTTGTATTGCGTTGAACATTTTAACCATAATTTCTTAATTGTAATGCTTTCACTGTACATCTATCGACCCTCTATGGCTTAAATTTAGAGGTCCCTTGGAATCTCGACGAAAATGGGTCTGAAAATACCGGACGCATGAGAACCTATGTAGGGCATTCCTTTATCAAGGAAGAGCGTTAGCCCGGGGAAAGCAGGAAAGGATTGAAGCAGAGATCTCTCTCACATTCGATGCATACCTTCTCGAAAAATGTTCCAACATGTTTTTCGAAATTTTCAAAAAATTAGATCGTAGTTTCCGGAACCCAGACTTCTGACAGAATGGTGATGCAAATGTTGATAAACTGCTTGTTAGCAAAAGGCATATGCGCTAACCTGTACATTTGTTTCAGATCTTCGCCAATAACGATGAAGCTCTTACGGCCCTCTTGCTGTTCCCATATGCCCGTGCACAGCACCTTCAACAAGACAGTGTTATACAAATGCGAAGTGATTCACTCTCCGATACCATTCTTGACTGCAATGTCACTGCGTCGGCGATGTACAGTAGCGGTCAAAAGTTTGGAAAGTTTTTCATTTTTATCTAGCGCAGTCAACGGACAACCAAATTGCCTCAAATTTACACATATAAATTTTGTGCAGAATACGATGGGTATTAGAATTTCTCAAAATCGAAAATCGTATTTGAAAATAAGATTTTAAAAAAAATGGCGCGTCAAAAGTTTGGAAACTTTTTGTTTCCCTCATCAGTATGATTCCTACTCTTCAATGTTACTTGTTTCTGTTAATTTCAGTTAATTCACTGAGAATTATGTAATTTAAAATGAAAATGAACTATTATCTCCACAGGAGAGGTTTTTCCAAGCCTTACAGTCCGGAATTGGAACTGAACTTCTTTTTCAGTAGTTCAATCCCAGCAGAAGCAATAATATCAAAAATTTCTAGCGTTATCGGAGTCGACCAAGTGCAAAGCGTGTGACCCTTTACGAAAAAGATCCTCGCAAGAAAGTTGATCCTGTTAAGGACCTAAACTTTTAAGGACTTTAAGGTGAATAATGGTCAAGGAAATCCTCGACAGGAAGTTGCATGAGAGATGGGGGGCCGTAAGCACAAGGTTCATCAACACAACGGTGCTGCTGCCACTCATTCGCTGTCATCATTAATTTCACAAGTGTTGTAGTTAGCCTAATGCAAATAATATCTTACACTGTCTGGAATTAAAATTTAAATGGAAAGTGTTGTTGGTTTGGTTCGTAGTGATCAGTACGGCATAGGAAGGCAACGCGTCCTGCAAGAAGAATCGTAGGAGAATGGGCAACGAATATTTACTCTAAAATGACTAGAAGACTAGAAACACCTTTCGGCCTGCATATTTGAAAATCTAGTGGAGGAACAATATCTTAATAGAAAGTTCAGAAAGGGAAGATTCGCAATCTCCTTAGCATAATATGTATGATCGCATCTTACGTGGTCTCTTCCTGGCTTTTAGAAGGTTGAGTCATAAATAATGCTGGTTTTGATGCCAATTTCAAAACTTTGTAACTTCCCCTACATCCAAAGATAATCAGTGATATAGCTGCCACAGCCGATCACAACTGTCCTCTTGTCCACTCACAAGCGAGGGGATACTTTTTCTCAAAAATTCGTAATATTGAACTTGAAGAGATTTGAAAGAGCTCCGCACAAGTGGTAGTCGCTTCCTACGAGATCATGTGAATATACGTGCAGGCAAGAAAGCCAAGTTTTTGTATAGTCTAGTGACTTTTCCATTGCCGTCCAGTGGAAAAATTTCATCCACACGAAGCCGCAACATTGCGAGATCTGCAAGAAGTCTACACAGCTGCATGCAATAGAACATCTGAAAAAAAGTGGAATCTTCTTTTTGCGAAGGTCACTTTAGGCGCTCGTTTTGATTGCTGAGTCTGTCCATCCAGTGTAGACTCCGTATTTGGCTGACACCAACTACGCCTTTTCGATAAACCGCTGAAGCCTTACCGAGACGGCCTTTGGAAACAAAGATTTGTTATATGTCCACACTCATCCGTGTTGAATGCAGTGTTCCAGCCTGTGCCATTTTTCGATGGCTTGTACGGATCAAACCACGGTAATCTACTCACTGCCTACTGCAAATCCACGGCTACTGGTGAACGAGGCGATTGCAGGAGGCCACTCGACCCCCTATTAATGCTTGGCCTACTAGCTGTAACTGTCCTCCCGAAATTGTAGGGCCCATTCTCGACTTTTCTTCATTATGCACGCTACACTATTTTGGCAGGCTCCCATCGTTGAGTTTCTCAGAAGCACTACGCAGGACAGCAACTTGAAGACGTGCTTCGTAATAGACGGCTTCAGAAGATGAGTAGAGTAGAGATTGTCCCCTCCTGTAAGATAAAAACCGTCAGGGTCCCCACACTGCATATTGGCAGAACACCACGAACGTCTTTGGCAAAAAAGACTGAAAAAACGGACATTACATATGACTCAACCCAGTACCATTCCGGTGGTGGTACAAAAATAGAAATAGTTCCGCGAGGATGAAAACATATAGACTTAGACAATGGCAAAAGAGTGATTATATGAGGCCGTTCTTGCCTTTACGGTAGTGAAATCACGTTGATCACGTTGATATTGACTCTTCTGAGGCAGTTCAAAAGCGAAACATCAATATACATATGCAATATTGTACTTTACCACTTCACAGTTGATTTGGCTGTATTGGCGTTATACACTTTTCAATTTAAAAAAAATTACAAAGGCAGGCCATTCGCAGCCTCGACAACCTTCTTTCTTGAATATGAAAAGAGATACCTGATTTTTGTTGCTGAAGACACTGAATAAGGTTGCTATATATCCTTTAGAGGTGAGCAGTTTGTTTCTGAGCATGCATGAATCCAAAGTGAGACCATAGTGAGCTTCATAGTGAACCGGATCCGATCTTCGTGTTTGCCAGACTCCCACGTACCTGACAGGAGACATATTTGATAGTACAGCGCTGTTCGAATCTGAGAAAGCTCGAGCTTAGGAATCATCGCTTGGATTTTCACCACAGAGCTCATCACTGCAGTTCATGTGGAAGAGCGCATTGCCTCTCAGAGGTGACAGCAGTAGACTTTTCGCTGCTACATTCATTTGCAAATTCCTTGCTAAAGCTTTCAGCCTCGCGGTCATTGCCGATATCGGCTAACCGGCTCAACACGTTATACGTGTGAGTGCTGAAAGCTATGGTAAGTATACCATGAAAAGCTGAGTTGGAATGAAATGGTGCCCCGGTAGCGTAACTGGTAGCGCACTTGCCCGGAAAGCGAGAGGTGCGGGTTCGAGTCCCGTCTGGGGCGAAAGTTTTGTTCACAACCCAGCATTCTTGTGAAACATTCGCAAGGCGAACTGCGGCCAAAACAG